CAGTGTCCTTCCTCCCTGCCGAGAAGCCAAGGAGGAGTTCTTACTGCTGCTGAGCATGCTGATTCCAGCTCCATTACCATGGTGACAGACCCAGGCCAAAGTGGCATCTCTCCTCTGACCCCTAAGTCTCCTCTCTGAGCAGTGGACTGATTGGCAACCAAGGCTCCCAGGAACCAGTGAGCTGCAGCCTGGAGTCCTGTTACTCCTGACTACAGGTCTCTGCTGAGTTTTACTGATAAATCACCAGGAAAGACAACTTGAGGACTAGGCTGTTATGTTACCCTGAGGCCTCTCCCTGCTCAGGAGTGCCTGGCTCCCATTCTTCAAGGCACTGGGATCTGTGTCCTGACCTGCCTCTGGAAATCAGGCGAGTAATGCTGCCCCCCCCCCCCCCCCCGCAATGGAGATAGAACCCAGGACCTTGCGTATGTCAAGCAAGTGCTTTACCAGCGAGCTGCATCTCAGATCTTTTTTCAAATTTTATTTTTGAGACAGTGTTTTGCTGAGTTGCTCAACATATAATTAATCTTATGGACAACATTATATTCTTATATTCTTGTAGTTGCTATTTTCCTGCCTCGCTGAGCTAACAGGTGTGCACCACTGGACATGACTAAACTGTTTTGACAGTGTAGCAATGAGGGATGTCTGCTGCCTGACTTGGCTCTGCTGACCCAGATGCCTGGTGGGTGTCCCAAAGGACAGAGCTGCTGACTAGGCCTGCTCTCTTAGAATCTGTCCCACACAACCTAGACTTTTGCTGACATTAACTTGACTTCCTGTGATCCTGGAGGAGCCATGTCTTCCAGCCTCAGAGAGGGTCTCTGAAACCTGACTCCTAGGTCTTAAGGGCTGGGGCTGTGTGTGAAGGATCTTGAGAAGTGGGGGTGGGAATCTCTGGTTATCCCACTTCCCCATCCCAGCTTCCTGGGCCCCATGCTTGCCTCACCAGCACTCCAGCTTCCCTGTAAGATGTCCGGGGAGACAATGCATTCAATGTGGCTATTATGCAACTGTCTTGAATCCAGTTCCATATGGCTCTGGGCTCCCTTAGTTCTGTGGCTGTGAGACATGAGATGTGTACATCAAGATAGCTTTTTGCCCCAAGAAGAAACAGTAGGAGCTTGGGTTCATTAATCTTCAGGCAGTCAGGCTTCATAATAAATGTGTAAATATACATATATACACATACATACACACATATGAATACAAACATGTAAATACACATACGTATATATAAACACATATACATGTGTATATCCCCAGCCCTTATTTATTTATTTATTTATTATTTTGAGACAAAGTCTTGCTAAGTTGCTTAGAGCCTAGCTAAATTGTTGAGTCTGGCCTTGATCTTGCAATCCTCCTGTCTCAGCCTCCTGAGTCACTGGGATTACAGGCATGGGCCACTGTGCCCAGCTCTAGCTCCATTTGAACAACCCACTTGCCTACCTTTGGGTTCTTGAATTCCTCATGCCTGCAAACTGTGCCTGGCAGAGAGTCTGATCTTCCCTGGGCATGTTATTCCTGATGACTACAGAGGTAGCCACTAACTCTGAGGACTGCCACAACCCTGTCTCCGAACATGCATGGAGCTCAGGGTTGCAGCCTGGATCAGATGGCTAATCCCAATTTTCTGTAAGGGTCATTGTCTGTAATTCACTGTCAATCATGGAGATTGTGTAATCCGTGGGCTATTTGTAAAACTGACAGTAGGCCTAAGCAGGTCCAGGTGTGCATACTTAACCAACAACACAGGAGCCACGTGTTTGGGATGCCCAGCCCTACTGTGATCTTTTCCTTCATGATGTGAGCAAATCTTGAGCCTGCAGAGTCCTTCCAACCCAGTGGCCATGACCCATGATGAAGGAAAGGGCTATCAGCTTCACCATGCCCTTGGGAACAGTACTGTGACCTTGATGCTAAAATTCAATAAAGATCCAGCTCAGATAATTTAAGAAAAGCACTGTACACTATGGAAGATGGCCTCTTCCTCAGGAAGGCTCCAGCAGACTGAGGCCCCAGGCTTACTTGCATGGCTGTGAGGGTAAATGTGCTGGCAGAGGTGGGGGTCTTTTGTATGGTCACCTGTCAGGCCCTCTGCGACACACTGTGTAGACAGGAAGACAATTGTGGGAATTTCAGAGTCAGTATTAAAGAGAGGTGTGGGAGACCAATGTCGCATATGACAGAGTCACTCCCGGCTGGGTGACTGAGGCATCAGGTAGCAGAAATGCCACTAGACTACCCCGCCCTTCTTGGGTTTGAGGACGGTGTCTTTGTGTATAGGCCTGTCTCTCCACAACCCCACCTGACCTTGCAACACTGCCCCCCTTGATCTTCATTGGATGGGATTTTCCCCAGAATTTAGAGTTCCCCAATAAAAGCCCACTCCAAAGTGTGTGTGTGTGCGCGCGCGCGCGCGCACGCTCCTGCGTGCTCTCTCTCTCCCCCTGTCTCCCCCCTCCCTGTCTCCCCCCTCCTCTCTCTTCTTTTTTTTTTTTTTTTTTTGAGAATTTTTTAATATTTATTTATTTTTTTAGTTCTCGGCGGACACAACATCTTTGTTTGTATGTGGTGCTGAGGATCGAACCCGGGCCGCACGCATGCCAGGCGAGCACGCTACCGCTTGAGCCACATCCCCAGCCCCTCCTCTCTCTTCTTCTCTCTCTCTCCCCCTCTCCTTCTCTCTCCCCCCTCTCTCCTTCTCTCTCCCCCCTCTCTCTCCCTCTTCTTCTCTCTCCCTCCTCCCTCTCTCTCCCCTTCCCTCCCTCCCTCTCTCTCTCCCCCCTCCCTCTCTCCCCCCTTCTTCTCTCTCTCTCCCCCCTCCCTCTCTCTCCTCCTCCCTCCCTCCCTCTCTCTCCCCCTCCCTCCCTCCCTCTCTCTCCCCCTCCCTCCCTCCCTCTCTCTCTCCCCACTCCCTCTCTCTCCCCCTCCCTCCCTCCCTCTCTCCCCCCTCCCTCTCTCCCCCTCCCTCCCTCCCTCTCTCTCTCCCCCTCCCTCTCTCTCCCCCTCCCTCCCTCCCTCTCTCCCCCTCCCTCCCTCCCTCTCTCTCTCCCCCTCCCTCCCTCCCTCTCTCTCCCCCTCCCTCCCTCCCTCTCTCTCTCCCCACTCCCTCTCTCTCCCCCTCCCTCCCTCCCTCTCTCCCCCTCCCTCCCTCCCTCTCTCCCTCTCCCTCCCTCTCTCTCTCCCCCTCCCTCCCTCCCCCTCTCCCCCCTCCCTCTCTCTCCCCCCCCCTCCCTCCCTCTCTCCCCCTCCCTCCCTCCCTCTCTCCCCCTCCCTCCCTCCCTCTCTCTCTCCCCACTCCCTCTCTCTCCCCCTCCCTCCCTCCCTCTCTCCCCCCTCCCTCTCTCTCCCCCTCCCTCCCTCCCCCTCCCCCCCTCCCTCTCTCTCTCCCCCTCCCTCCCTCTCTCCCCCCTCCCTCTCTCCCCCCCCCTCCCTCTCTCCCCCTCCCTCCCTCCCTCTCTCCCCCTCCCTCCCTCTCTCCCCCTCCCTCTCTCTCCCCCTCCCTCCCTCCCTCTCTCTCTCCCCCTCCCTCTCTCTCTCCCCCTCCCTCCCTCCCTCTCTCCCCCCTCCCTCTCTCTCCCCCTCCCTCCCTCCCTCTCTCCCCCTCCCTCCCTCTCTCTCCCCCCCTCTCCCCCCCCCCCCCCCCCATCTCCCTCTCTCTCTCCTCTCCCGTAGATCCTCACTCCCCAGCTGGGGAGCTTGAGGCAGAGAGCAAGAGGAGCCGTCCCAGGCAATCTTGTGGCATTGCTCTGAGCTGGGCACAGGCACATCAGGGTTCCTGGGGCTGCCTGCCCCGCATGCTCATATGCTGCACAGGTGCTCTTGTGTCAAGAATTGGCCCTGCATATTTTCAGGGTTGGGGAAGGAAGACTTCAGAGGAAGGGTTATGTGAGTGTCCAGCGGGCCTGGAGGGGGCGCGACCTGGGGAGAAGCCTCCCAGGCCCACTTCCTCTGCTCTGGACAGGAGGTGGATGTGGGAGGATTAACACACTGGTGTGAGGGTGAGGACCCTGAGTCTCCCCTTCTTCTGGAGGTTTTTTTTTCCTGGCTTAGCTCTTTGTCTGTCTTGGAAGGTGGTGAACTTGGCTGTCTTTTCGGTATTGAGCCTGTCACAGCTTGCTTTTCCCCAGGGCCCTGGGGCCTCCGAGGTGCCTGGTACATGGACGGCCCTGCCCTTTCTCCTCCTGGCCAAGCTCTACCCAGACCTAACCTCTCATGGGGACTGTGGAAGTGAGCCAGGGTGGGGACAAAGGTCTCACAGGTGGGTCTGGGACAATTCCAGATACAGGGCCAGGAAAACTCCTGAGGAGGGAGCTTTCTCTCCAAACCATCTGGCTTCAGAGAGGAGCAATCGGCAGGGCCATCTGCTCTCCAGAGTCCCTGGGGGTCGGTGCCGAGCCAAGGCCAACCAAGCAGGGCTTCTGTACAGCGGGTCCACAGGGGCCATCAAGGCAACAGTGGCAAAAAGCCTAACTGGTCCCCGAGGGTCTGGCCTCAGGACAGCGGCCACAGTGCGGGAATGCAGTCTCTTTTCAAGCCTCAGTGTCCCCATTTGAAGGGAAGCCGGTACGTGGAGCAGCGCATCCTTAGCCCCGCTCTCCGCAGCCTGACCAGCTCCAGGCGGTCCCGCGGCAGGTGTCGCTGGCGCCCCCAGTTGGGTGTCCCCAGCACTGTCCACGTTGGTGCGGCAGCGCGACGCGCGCAAGACTCGTCTGCACCCGGGGCGCGACCTAGGGCGGCTGGACAACGCCCCAGGCCGGCCCGCCTCCTCATGGATCCCCGCGGGAGCCAGAACCAGTGGCGGCCGCACCCCGCGCGCCGGCTCCCGCGTGCTCGACCCCGCATCGCGGACACGCGCACGCCACCTCCTCAGCGGCGCCGCCGTCCGTCGCCGCGCGCGTGCGTGCGTGCGCGTGCGCGGCCCTGAGAGCGGCGCTCAGGCCCCGAGGCGGCTGTGGCAAGGCGGCTCCGCGCTCCTGCGCTCCTGCGCTCCTGGGCGTCCGCGGCCCTCGGCGGCCTTGGCGTGACTGCCGCCCGCCCGTCCGCGCGCCCCGCTCCTCCTGGGCCCGCCGCCCAGGCCGCTGCCGGGGCCCGAAGATGCCGGCCGTGTCCAAGGGGGACGGGATGCGGGGCCTGGCGGTCTTCATCTCGGACATCCGCAACTGTGAGTGTCCGGCGGGCCTGGGGGGCGCGGGCCGGGGGGCAGACCTGGCGGCGGGGCCCGGGGTGCGAGTGTGAGGCGGCGGCGGGCCGGCGTGCGGGAGGGGGTCTGCGGGTGCAGATCTGGCGGTGGGACGAAGGTCTGTCTGGTCGGGGTGCGGGAGCGGGGTCGAGGTTGCGATTGGGGCGAGGGTCTGAGGACCTGGCGGTGGGGAGGGTGCCGGTGCCAGGCTTGGGTTGGGAGGCCGGGGATTGCCAGGTGGGGGTTCAGACCGAGGCTCGGTGTGGGGACCGTGACGCGGGGCCGGGATCTGAGGGGTGGGCGGTATTGCAGAGGGGCTTCCGGCCAAAACGCCCCTCCCCAGCATGATGTCATCTCGGCCTTTCTAGTAATGCAGCGCGTAACCCAGCCTTTTTCAAAGTAGCGTGGATTTTCGCTCCGGGCACAGAATCCAGAGACCGCGCGTTCAAGCAGACGGCCTGTGACCCGGTTCTGGCGGCCTTTTGCTTGCTGATGAGATCTCACCCGCTGCGATTAAAGTGACTCATTCCCCCAGGGGACCCGCAGCGACCGGGTGTGGATGCTCTGAGCTAAGCTTCTATGGTCTCCAGGCACAGGCCCTCTCCAAATGTCCCTGGTGGAAAAAAGCCACCCAGAATGAAATGGGTCAGGAAGGCAGGGCCTGCTAAAGAGTGGGCTCAATTATTCGCTTTTGTTTTTTAATATTTATTTTTTCGTTGTAGTTGGACACAATACCTTTATTTATTTATTTTATGTGGTGCTGAGGATGGAACCCAGGGCCTCACGCATGCTAGGCGATCACTCTACCGCTGAGCTGAGCCACAAACCCAGCCCCAGTTGTTCGTTTTTTCTTGTTATCCAGCAAAAAGTAATTGGTTCTTCTTGGGGTTTTTTTTTTTTTTTGGTCAAGGATTGAACCCAGGAGTGCTTAACCACTGAGCCACATCCCAGCCATTTTTTTATTTATTTTGAGACAGGGTCTTGTTAAATTGCTCAGAGCCTGGCTGAGTTGCTGAGGCTGGCTTTGAACTTGGGATCCTCCTGCATCAGCCTCCCCAGTGTTGGGATTACAAGCATGTGCCACCACACATGGTGGTTCCTTGATTTTTATTACCTTAGGTTAATGAGTATTTTGAGACATTTTGTGACATTACCTACTGCTAAGTGCTGATGTGCTGATCCTTCCCTGTCAACCTCACCTCCTTGGAGCAGAGCCTCAAGGCCAGTCTGGGTGTACCAGGCTTCTCTGGAAGGGTAGAGGATGTTGGTCCCTTCCTTCCTCTGAAGAATAATAGGTGCCAGAGCTTCTACAGGTAGGCCACTCTCTTTTTCCTGTTGTTTTTTTTTTTTTTTTTTGGACATGAAATGAAATTTCCAAGACAATGCTTTCGCACTTATGATGCATTTTGTGAAGATAAGTGTGTGTTTGCTTGTGAAGGGGACCCCTTGGATGAAGGCTTAGTGGCCTTAAGTTGGCCATGATGTCATCCTCCATTTTTACACTGGGAAGGATATTGAGAGTGAAAACCGTTTTCACACAACTTGTCTCACTTTAAACACATGTTCTGTGCATTTGACCAGAAAATGTGCCATATACTGAATATTCAGTAAGTGCTCATTGACTGACTGTAGGTCAGACGTCCCACACCTTGTTATAGCTGATAGCTGGGACTGACCTTCCTCAGTTGTGGGGGTCGTTCAGCAGCACTAGATGCCTCAGTAGTACAGTTATAAAATGTCCCCTGCCAAGCAGAGTGGCCCTTGGTTGAGAACCACTGATGTGGACCAGTGGGCAAGCCAGTTCTTCCCCTAGATGAGCCGTTGGAAGAAGGGGTACCTGGTCCTCCTTCCTCAGAAATACCTTCCCTCCTGGCTCTCAGGTCCCTCTCTCATCTGCTGCGGCATTGCTTTTCTTTGGAGCTGAACCAGGTTGTACTAAGCATTGAGGGTAGCGTGGAAGGGACAAGTGGAAACTGAGCTGTCTCCATCTGTGGGCACTTCTGATTGGTAGTCCATTCACTTGGCACAGGCAGCAATGGTCCTGTCTGGGACTCTACCTCTTCACTGTAAGCTCCATGAGTGGGGATCCTATGTCTTGCTCACCACATCATTCCTCCTAACCCCATGCCTCTCAGTGTCAGGCACATGGTGTGTGACCAGTGAAGGCATTGACCAGGAGCCAGCCAGAGAAGACTCACAGATACAGGAGAAATGAGAGGGCTGAGTGAGCTCGAGCCAGGCAGGGCCAGCGCAGTCTGAACTTTACCCCTGTGTTGCAGGGAGATCGGTCACTGCTTCTCTTCCTGGCCTGGCTCTGGTTTGTGTGTTTGTTGAGAGAGTGACAGGAGTACCCAGGCTCTGTGAAGAGGGTGCTCTGCTGGGAGCCACCAGTGACTGAACTGATGTCAAGGCATGAGTTTTGAGTGGAAGTGTGATTGAAATCTGTTTCAACTCTAAATGGGCAGCTCCCTTTACTTTTCTACCAACTTGCTTAAGTTTTCCCCTTGAAGGTTGTACTAAGCATTGAGGGTAGCGTGGAAGGGACAAGTGGAAACTGAGCTGTCTCCATCTGTGGGCACTTCTGGTTGGTAGTCCATTTCTCTTGGCACAGGCAGCAATGAATATGCTTTAGGATGTGAAGAGGTGCTCCCTGGCACATTGTGCCATTCAAACCTGTAGCTCTTATGGTTCAGGTGGCAAACTAATTTTAGTGTCTTGTGAAATTGCCTTGATCCTTCCTGATTTACTTTAAGCAGGGCTAAGGACTTTGCTAATGTGAGTTCAGTGTATGGGAGTTAATAAACTTTGTGTTACTAAGAAAATTCTAGTTCTGGGGCTGGGCCTGTAGCTCAGTGGTAGAGTGCTTGCCTCACATGTGTGAGGCACTGGGTTCAATCCTCAGCACCACATTAAAAAAATAAATAAATAAAGATACTGGTCCATCTACAACTAAAAAAATTTTAAAAAGTTCTAGTTATTTTATTTAATTATGTATATATATATATATATGTATTTTTTTTTTTTTTTTTTTTTTTGGGTATTGAGGATTGCACTCAGGGGCACCTGACCACTATGCCACATCCCAGCCCTATTTTTTATTTTATTTAGAGACAGGGTCTCAGTTGCTTAATACCTTGCTTTTGCTGAGGCTGGCTTTGAAGTCATGATCCTCCTGCCTCAGCCTCCCAAGCCACTGGGATTATAGGTTTGCACCACTGCATCTGGCTTAAATAATTTCTTACTTTGAAACACTTAAGGTTAAGTGTTTTCTTACTTTAAACACTTAAGGTTAATAGGAAGCTGAAGCGAAAGACAGGGAGATCTCTGGCTTCCTTCATCCATATTTCCTGATGTGCGTATCTTGCATAATGATGGCATTTTCAACACAGGGAGCTGATATGGTGTAGACCACTGGGCTGTTTAGGCCTTGCTAGTTTTAGCTGCACTAGAGTGTGTGTGTGTATGGTCTGCAGTTTTAGTATATGTAGTGTTGTGGGACTCCTGCCTGAGTGGAGATGCAGACTATGCCGTCATCACAAAGCACCCTGTGCAGCTCTGACAGCCGCCCTGTTGCCCAGCCCTGGCAGTCGCTCATCTGCTTTGCTCTGATTTTCTGGTTTCAAGGATGTCCTGTAGTGTGGGACCTTTCACATTGCCTGGCTTTTTTCACACCCATCAGCACTGTTCCTGAGATTAGTCAAGCTGTTGGGTTGGTGACACTTATTTGAGCAAAGGGTCCCAAGGGAACAAAAGAGCTGCTGACACTGGGAAAATAGCCATTACTCACTATTCAGTTGTTCTGGAACTTTTGTTTGCTTTTACACAAATGGTATCTGTGAAGGAGAGTCATATATAACTTATATCAGTTTTTTTTTTTTTTGTGGGGGGGGGCGCATCTCCAGGAATGGAACCCAGGGCCTCCCACATGCTAGGCAAGCGCTAAACACTGAGCTACCTCCTCAGCCCTAATCTATGTTTTTTTTTTTTTTTTGGGGGGGGGCGGGGTACCAGGGTTTGAACCCAGGGTGCTCAACTACTCAACCATATCTCTAGGGTTCGCTTATTTATTTATCTATTTATTTTAAGAGAGAGAGAGAGAATTTTAATATTTATTATTTAGTTTTCGGCGGACACAACATCTTTGTATGTGGTGCTGAGGATCGAACCCGGGCCGCACACATGCAAGGCGAGCGTGCTACCGCTTGAGCCACACCCCCAGCCCTATTTATTTATTTATTTAGAGACAGGGTCTTGCTAAGTTGCTGAGGTCGATTTTGAATTCACTATCCTATTGTCTCAGCCTCTTTTTTTTTTTTCAAGAGAGAGAGAATTTTTTAATATTTATTTATTAATTTTTTAGTTTTTGGCGGACACGACATCTTTGTTTGTATGTGGTGCTGAGGATCGAACCTGGGCTGCGTGCTACTGCTTGAGCCACATCCCTAGTGGTGCTGTTAATTGAACCCAGGACCTTGTGCATGCAAGGCAAGCACTCTACCAACTGAGCTATATCCCCAACCCCTATCTTAGCCTCTTGAGCTGCTAGAATTACAGGTGTGTGCCACTACACCTGGCTCCTGCTTTGCATTTTTATCTGTCCTGGCCTAGCTATATGTTGTTACATATTCTCTTATGATGCTGGGCAGTGGCAGCGAGGAGCAGTCTGCACCCCTGAGGTCACCTGGGCAAATGGCTGGGACAGCACAGTGAACAGTGTGCTGCTTGGCTAAGCTGTGATGGTGTAGGTGAGTTGTGTTTCCTGCATATCTATCTACAGTGTCTTAATCTTTTTTTTTTTTTTTAATATTTATTTTTTAGTTTTAGGTGGACACAGTATCTTTATTTTATTCTTTTTTTGGTACCGGGGATTGAACTCAGGGGTATTTGACCACTGAGCCACATCCCCAGCCCTATTTCGTGTTTTTATTTAGAGACAGGCACTAAGGGTCTCATTGAGTTGCGTAGTGCCTTGCAGTTGCTGA